ACAAACAGATCAGATGTTTCTTTATATTTATATTCCCTACTGTAGTTTACATGAGATTATAAAACAAAATGATCCGAGTTTTTAAATACTGCATGATCCCACATCTATAATGATTTAAAAACAAAACAAAACAAAAGGAAACAGAAAGAAGAGCAATTTCTTCAGCAGTCACACTATTGATTCTCCACAAAACGTTGGTTGAGACCATACGATTTCTACTGATTTATATCAACGACCAAAAACATTATTATCAATAATAATCACATGAATAAAAAAAACTGGTAGCTTCATTTACAGTGCATAAGGAAAGTACCCACAGTACTTGTTTTGTATTGTGTCACATTACAGCCTTATTCCAAAGCTGAATTAAGTCTTCGATGTCAAAATTCTACACAAAACACTCCATTAAAACAAAATGAAAAAATGTATACTTGCAATTCTTACTAATTTATTTAAAAAAAAGAAACGGCCTTTACCATGACACTCAAATTTTAGGTCAGGTGCATCACGTTTCAAAAGATAATCTGGTAGATGTTTCTACAACTTGGAGTGTGTGGAGGCAGATTTCTTTTCTCATGTATTAATCACATATTTAATCATATCACATTAGTTATAGTAATATCACTTTCTCACTCTACTGTAGTAAGAACACTCCTGTCCACCTTATCAGGGATGTAAATCTTTAGGTGACGGCCAAGCAGAAAACCAGGTCATAATTCTCTCTGTGAGGGAGGGGTATAGCCCCCCCATGAGAGGTGCCAACATGAGTTTGTGGAATATTCTTTTCTGTGTCTCTGTATGTAAGATGTAAGGGCGGTGGCCACAATTCAGAGATGATCCTAGTGTTTCACTGGGATGCTCTCTCCAAATTCAATGTGTTTATTAAACCCACTTCACATCAAGCTCACTGGGTGTGTTGCAGGTTGTCGTTAAATTTTCCATAAGAAGTGTAACTGTGGTAAATTTAGTTGATTGGACATGATTTGGGTGTTGCAGCATAGGCTGCGAATACTTCTTATATATTTTTTTCAGTTTCAAACAAGCTTTTTTTTCTCCACATTGTCATTAAAGAATATTGTTTCCTTGTTATACAAAGAGACAGTTCCAGATATTCTTGTTCTAGGGGTGCTTGAAATTTCACACAATATTGAAAGTCCCAATGAGAAAAATTTACTCCATCATAGCTAAAACAATGAAATTTGGAACCACCAGGACTCTTTGTACAGCAGGCTTCCTGGCCTGGTGGAGAGAACCACCTTCTACGGCACTCCACCAATCAGGCAAGTACAGCAGAGTGGTCAGATGACTGGTGTGAAGGTTCATCTTCCAACAGGACAATGCCCTAAGAAACAGCCAAGATAACAGGAGTCGCTTCGGAACCACTCTATGAAGCTCCTTGAGTGTCCCAGCCAGAGCCATACTTGAACCTGACTGAATATGTCTGAAGGGATCTGAAAATGGTTGTGCACTGACAGTAGTGATCCAAATTGACTGAACTTGAGGGGAAGAATTTGAGAAACTTTTAAAAAATACTACATCATTACAGAAAAAGAGTAGTGAGCAAAGGCTGTGAATATTTATACATGTCATATTTGTTTTTATTGTTTTATTTTTTTAATGCAATTTAATGCAGCCTTTTCTCTCTTCATCATTATGGGGCATTGCTTAGGATTTTAAGGTGAAAATGACAAAAATATGGAACTGAAGCACTGAATACTTTAGATGCACTCTGACTCTCCAAGTTGTTGTTGGCAACAGTATAGTAGTGTTGTACCCTGCACACTGGCTCATGTAGAGAGACGAGACTTCCTGTGTTCATTTTGGATGCCCCTGCAACTACCCTCACAGCATAGCTTTTTAATAAGTTTTATTAAAAGGGATTCACTCAAAGAAAGAGTTAGACCACTGTTTCAACCAAACCAAAAACAACCACAACCTAAAATATCCTGGGAAAAGAAAACAAGATACTTAACCAAGTTACAGGTTTACTTCTGCTGCCAGCACAGACCAGATACTCAGTAGGCGCTCAACACCCAAAGCTGGCCCACTCGCTGAGTCAGCAGTGCTTCACTGGCTTCTATAGTTCTGGGTAGCTGATTGCTGAATGAATACAGTAGTGCACTGGTTCCTCAGGAGAAATGGGTGGCAGCTGAGCTCCTGGAAGAGACTGGGCACACCCACACAACACACAAACTGCTAGAGCTGTAACAAGGAGAAATGGGTAAAAAGCTGGACAGCCTTTCACTCGAGAGTAATAAAGTCCAACCACACGAAGATTTAAAGTACAGCGATATTAAGATAAAACCCATTATTCCAGCATTCTGTCTGAATTTATGTGTGACAAAGAGGAGAAAAAACATTTTTTCACATCAGGACTTTGGACAGTATGTTTTGCCATGTTGCTGCTTATTTTACCATTAGGAAGAAGACAAAAGACAAAAGTGAAACTGTATCAAGGAGAAAAAACACAAAAATAATATGTCAGCTCAATCACATGAACATTCATAATATCTACCCTTTCTGCTTTACAAGAACAGATGTGTGTTTGGCTCCTTAAATGTGTTTGCATGATTTTTATGTTTTCTATAACTCAGATTGTGATGTTGGATTTTCTGACTCAGGGCGTGAGACTTCAAATGTGAAAATTATATTGTTAGAACAATAAAATTGTCATGTTTTGACCTCGTATAGCTCTATATTTCTTTTGCCAAAGCCGTTCTAGATGATGAAGAATTTTGTTTAAGACTGAGTTTAGTGTTTTCCCATGTGATCAGTCTGAACCTGCTCATTGTGTGCCACCACCTGTTTGTAGAACAACCAAGCTAGTTAACGAAGAGACTTAGCTTCCCTTTAAAAAAACACCTGCAGAAATGGCTGCTCCAGTTGGAGCCTCCTGGAGGCTGGGCTTTTTGTGAGTTTTTTCCAAAGACTGTGGTGCTTCTCCTTGTTAAAAAAAACTGGTACGGGTTTGATAAAGCATTTATATTTGATAAAGTATTGTGAAAAGGACCAAAGAAAAGTGATTTTTCTTAAGCTGTGATTTTATTTTGTGATTTAGACTTTTTTTACAGCACGTTTTTAAAGAACAACATGGATAATAATAGCTGCTCAAATTAGCATGCACATCAATAGAGAGTCAAATGTTTGCAGAGATATTGCAAGAACAGAAACATGTAGCTTCATCAAACTATAAAACACATCATATGCAAGACAGGAAGTGTTGCTGAAGCTCTACTCTGAGCAGTGGTCAGGCTCCAGGGTTTGAGTGACGGGGCTCTGTCCACTCAGACTGGCCTCACAGCTCACTGAGCCCGCCTTCCTCCACTGGTCTGCAGAGAGGCTCAGGGTGCTGCTCCAGCTGTAGCGGCCTCTGTCCCCAAGACCTCCAGGCTGGTTGAAACCCCTGAGGATGTGCTGGTGCTCCCCACCTTCCAGCCCAAATTCCAGTTTGAGGGGAAGCCCCCGGTGGCCAAACACACCACAGTGGCACTACTCTGTTTGTCTTCCTCTTTGGAGGGAGGGAGGACTGTGAGGGTGGGCCTCACCACACCCGCTGGAGGAGAAAAGGTTGAAGATAATCGAAAAATGAGATACAAATGTAAACATGGGAATAAATATATTGTCAGTGATTATTTTTTTAATCAGAGTTTTACAGTTAATAACTTGACCCTGTGATAATTTTCTTATTTAAACTGACAAAGCTAAAGCACTCATGAGAATACAGTTAAAACTTCACATCTGTTTCTTTCACTTCCTTTAAACTTCAATTTAAAATTGATCAACCATGAACACAAAATTGATCTATACTGAGTATTTTTTTTTCTAATATGAAGTCGACAAAACATAATCAATATTTGTTTTTATTTTAAATTCATAGTAAAAATACATTTTAAATCAAAGTGAGCTAAAACAAAGTGAGCTGAAACACATTTTAATATTGTAACCAGATAATATATAACGAAGCAAAAATTACCAAAAAGAACATTAAAAATTATTTTTAAAAAAAATTCACTTCTTTCACAGACTGAATGAATTTGATTGAAGAAAAGTTTTTCAAAATGTATGACATTGATTAATAATAATCATGAATTTACAAAGTTCTGTTTAATATATTTTTAAATGTTAATAAATATACATTTTATAAAATAAAATTTCTGGTACTTACAGCCAACGATGAGTTTGGTTCCTCCCCAAAGTGTCACCACAGTGATACAAACTCATTAAGTGGCCGTACAAAAACCTCCTGCACTCTGAACAAATCTAACCACTGAAAATGAACCTTTTTTATGTAAAACATCACAGTACACCTGATTAAATGCAGAAGATGATTTACACTAAAGTGACTTAAAATTATTTAATGAATTTAAGTCATGATTATCTTAATTGTATTTTTAGTATTAAGAAGTGAAAGATAAAACTTAACTTTCACATTACACATATGTATTTAAAAAACACACAGAAAACTGTTTTAACACAGCAACCAGAAAGGCTTCAAAAAATAATGTATTATGAGACTATGAGAATATAATTAACAAATATACAGGTATACTGTATTTGTTAATAGCAGAATGAAAAAGTAAGCATACAAACCAGAGTGCCATTTTAATCCAGGTGTACAAAGTATGTAATAATGTTTCCAAATATATGGTTTTCCTCTGTTCTATAAAATCGTTAATGTATTAGTTCAAACTATTTTTTTTTGATTTTGTGTCACAAAGTTTCCTTCAGTGTGTTGAGAGCAGAGAAATGATTTCCATAGAGAGGAGGCTTTGCATCATCAGCTGATCCTCCAGAGAACTGAGAAGGTTTATAGTCCTGTGACTTCAACACTGCAGGACTCACATCTGTCAGTCAACACAGCAGAAAGCACAACCACCATGACTCTCATCACCATCCTCATCTGGACGCTGACCTGCTGCTGTTTTACAGGTTCATTCACTCAGCAACATTTCAAACATGATGTGCTGCTTTTTCTCTCATTGATTTCTGCTGATAAATGAATGATTTGTTTTTGTCTGCAGGATGCAGCGGTCAGGTGACTGTGACTCAACCTCCAGTAGTGACATCTACTCCTGGATCCACTGTCACTCTGACCTGTAGGACCAGCCAAGATGTTTACAGAGATTTTGATGATGATGATTATGTATTCTGGTATCAGCAGAAGTCTGAACAGACTCCAAAGCTCCTAATAAAATATGTAAAAACACTCCAGTCAGGAACACCAACTCGATTTAGTGGCAGTGGAAGCAGCTCTGACTTCTCTATGACCATCAGTGGAGTTCAGGCTGAAGATGCAGCAGTTTACTACTGTAAGAGTTACCATGACATAAACAGTGTTGATGTGTTCACACAGTGATTTGTAGTCATACAAAAACCTCCCTCAGTCAGACTGCAGAGACACTGAGCTGTTACAGCAGGAACTGACTGCAGCTGCTGAAGAGGAAGAACTCTGACACAGAACGCAAAGTTGAGGAGTGCAAAAAAACAAAAACAAACCCCCCACTAATATCATTAATCACTTCATACAGACTCATACGGAGTGTAAAGAACCTAAAGACATCAAATTATTTTATCTTCACATATAATCACCACAAATAAAAACATTATGTAATATATAATATAATATAACATTTATTATATCAAATATCACCACGTACAATGGAGTGATATACATTTTTTCATTTGCATTTCACACTATATTGCTGGATAGATTAGTTTCAAAATAGTTTTCAAAATAACAATCTTTTGGTGTACTGTGTATTTTTGTCAAAAAAATCAAATAACGAAACAATAACAAATGTATTTCTTAAAAGAACACAAAAATCATTTTACTCATAATCTACTCAAATCTCATAACTTTCAAAGATTAATGCTCATGTTCTATCAGCTCAGAGATTTTAACACTAAGATGCCAAAAAATTTAAGAGTTTCAATGATACTGTTATATGGTGATTCTATCACATTTGACCTCTGATCTAACTTTTACGTTTCACATCTGCCTTTCTATCCAACTTAACACCAAAAAGCATTATATCTTTACAAAAAGCTTTGTAAAGAGAAACAGAATGAAATTCAAATATACTCTAGTATGATCTTATTATAATAAGCTCAAGTTATTTATGTCCAATTATATACAAACAATTAACTTTGTATGCTTTGAATTTAAACAGTAATAAAAATAATCATCATAAATACTATACCCTTAATTGTAAATAGTCCCAAGTAAGTGAGCTGCCTTCTGCCTCTTGCCTTGTTCTTCTTATTTTTTGTGTTTGACACAAATTGTCCATCCTGATTAGGGTTAGGGTCTGTCTGTGAAGGTTCTCAGTCATCGTAGTCTTAGGAGCTTGGAAAAGGAGCTTGACAGTCAGCTCAAGCTGATGATGCAGGAGAATAATGTAGTATGGGAGTGCATGAAGACCCAGTGTTTACACAGAGATAATATATGTTATATAATAAAAAACTACTATTATTAAGAACTGTAATCAAAATTAAAGATGTACATAGTCAGGGAAAATTAAACAAGCAGAAAATGTTTGAAATGTTAGAAAATTACGGCAAGGCTGGGATGGTCAATTTGGTAAAGTAAATCCGTTGGGCATCTTTCTTTGCCTTTAGACAACAATTCTGATGGCAAAAGAGCCAAACGGGACAGGCAAAAAAAAAAAAAATTAGAAAATGCTAAACTATAAAACTAAGTTTTCAGCAGAGTTTTAAAAAACACTCACAGAATCAGCCAAGCTCATTCAACTTTTAGGTGCTACAATCTGAAAAGGGTGTGAATGGGTTAATGACTGAATGTAGTGTGAAGAGCTTTGGGGTCTTTAGGGACTAGAAAAGCGCTATACAAATGCAGGCCATTTACCATTTACCAAGTGTCAAAACAGAAACAGATCAGATGATGGTACAAAGTGGGTCCTATAACAAGGTCATAGCAGTACAAACAGGACACCATGGAACTGCAAGGCTTTACATATGAGTAGAAGAATAATTGACTGAAATCTCCAACGTTAATTGAGTATTACATGTGATGCAGTTCTTTTATTTTGAAGTCAGTTAAAACAAAACATAAAAAATCAACCAATCTTATTGTTAGAAATGAATCTCTTTAGAAGGAAATTGTGCTTTAAAATTAAACTTTTTATGCAAACTTTCATTAGAATTGAGTAAATTTGCCTGCTTACATATTTGATTCTGATTTCATAATGCCTCAGTGGTTTTTGTAAATATATTAAAACACGTGGGGTTATGTTCTCTAGTCCTTTGTGTCATTTTGTTGTAAACAGAATAATGAAATGTCTGAATACTGTCTTCCTTCTCACCACTGAAGAAAGACAAAAAAGTTTTATAATATTCTGGATAACTGCAAGCTTTATTGACACAAACATGAATCATTAATATGACAAGTACAATCACAACCAGCTGCTGAGCTGCACATGTCGCTCTTTAGCTTGTTGTTCTTGTCAACACTTTACATCAGTGTCGTTCTCTCACACACAAAGCTTTATTTCCTTCTACAAACAAAAACACATATAGATCACAGAGGCAGGTGTCTTTCTCCTGCTCCCCACACACCCGGCTCCTGTCCTGGGCTTCAGTAACTCCTCTAGCCTTCACACCAGCTCCTGCTCAGGGACTGGGACTGTGTGTGGCCATGATGGATGACCTTGCAGGAGTAAAGCTCTCCCTTCAACCAGCTTTTCTGGCTCAAGGTCAGGGTGCTGCTGCTGCTGTAGCGATCACTCTTCTTCTCCTCTGAGCTGGTCAGGACCCCTTCTGTCACCTCTCTGCCGTCCACCTCCCATCTCACCTCGGCTCCCTCTGGAGAGTAGCCGGTCAACAAGCAGGCCAGTGTGGTCGTGCACCCAGAGAGATCCTCAGGGGAGGGTTGAAGCAGAGAGACTGAGGGTCTGACCATGGGGCCAGCTGGAAGGGAGAGCAGGAACACACAAGGAGCAGATTAACTTCTGCTGTAGGACAGAGAGCTGAACATTACACAGTTATGATACATGACAGAGATTAACAGCATCGTGGAAGAAATGGAAAAATAACAATTACAAATAATGACAAAGTTGGAATTTTACATTTAAAGTTGGAATTTTCCCCTAGGTTACACAGCTTTATTTCTAAACCTGCCATAAAAGTAATTATATTGTACAGCATCTAGTTCCTACATTAATTTTCTTAACTGAAAAAATGAACCGTCTGTACAGACTGCCATCTGTTTGTTTCACTTCAGTTTTACTACCTCAAAGTACTGAACCATAAACTCGCGATGGAACCGTTAAATTGCATCTAAATAAAACTCTTTTATTTTTAAGCCAAGAATGTAAAACCTTTTTAATCCAGCTAACTGTTTGTACAAATAAATAAAATCAAAGCTTCCTCGTGCTATTTTCAGCCTCAGATTTTGTGAAAAGATATTTATTCACAGATAAATAAATAAAAACTTAATTAAAATAGATTTATTCAAAATATAATTTAAATTTTCAGTACTATATAAACATTCAGTATGATACTGTATTATATATTCACACTTTCTGATACCAAGTTTTCAATAACAGCTACTATGACTAAACCCAACCATGTACACATCATGTAAAACACACAGAATAACGCAAAGTTGAGGAGTGCAAAAAAACAAAAACAAACCCCCCACTAATATCATTAATCACTTCATACAGACTCATACGGAGTGTAAAGAACCTAAAGACATCAAATTATTTTATCTTCACATATAATCACCACAAATAAAAACATTATGTAATATATAATATAATATAACATTTATTATATCAAATATCACCACGTACAATGGAGTGATATACATTTTTTCATTTGCATTTCACACTATATTGCTGGATAGATTAGTTTCAAAATAGTTTTCAAAATAACAATCTTTTGGTGTACTGTGTATTTTTGTCAAAAAAATCAAATAACGAAACAATAACAAATGTATTTCTTAAAAGAACACAAAAATCATTTTACTCATAATCTACTCAAATCTCATAACTTTCAAAGATTAATGCTCATGTTCTATCAGCTCAGAGATTTTAACACTAAGATGCCAAAAAATTTAAGAGTTTCAATGATACTGTTATATGGTGATTCTATCACATTTGACCTCTGATCTAACTTTTACGTTTCACATCTGCCTTTCTATCCAACTTAACACCAAAAAGCATTATATCTTTACAAAAAGCTTTGTAAAGAGAAACAGAATGAAATTCAAATATACTCTAGTATGATCTTATTATAATAAGCTCAAGTTATTTATGTCCAATTATATACAAACAATTAACTTTGTATGCTTTGAATTTAAACAGTAATAAAAATAATCATCATAAATACTATACCCTTAATTGTAAATAGTCCCAAGTAAGTGAGCTGCCTTCTGCCTCTTGCCTTGTTTCTTCTTTATTTTTTGTGTATAACACAAATTGTCCATCCTGATTTCACTCTGACAGTCTGTCTGTGAAGGTTCTCAGTCATCGTAGTCTTAGGAGCTTGGAAAAGGAGCTTGACAGTCAGCTCAAGCTGATGATGCAGGAGAATAATGTAGTATGGGAGTGCATGAAGACCCAGTGTTTACACAGAGATAATATATGTTATATAATAAAAAACTACTATTATTAAGAACTGTAATCAAAATTAAAGATGTACATAGTCAGGGAAAATTAAACAAGCAGAAAATGTTTGAAATGTTAGAAAATTACGGCAAGGCTGGGATGGTCAATTTGGTAAAGTAAATCCGTTGGGCATCTTTCTTTGCCTTTAGACAACAATTCTGATGGCAAAAGAGCCAAACGGGACAGGCAAAAAAAAAAAAGAAAATAAAAAAAACAAGTTTTCAGCAGAGTTTTAAAAAACACTCACAGA